AAGGGAAACAAAAGCAAAATTGAACTATTGGGACCTCATCAAAATAAAAAGCTTCTGCATGGCGAAGGAAACAATCAGCAAAACTAAAAGGCAACCAATGGAATGGAAGAAGGTATTTGCAAATGACATAGTAGATAAAGGGTTAGTATACAAAATCTATAAAGAACTTATCAAACTCAACACCGCCCCCCCCCAAAAAAAAAATCCAGTGAAGAAATGGGCAAAAGACATGAATTGACGCTTCTCCAAAGAAGACATCCAGATGGCAGACAGACACATAAAAAAAAAAATGTTCAACATCACTCATCATCCTGGAAATACAAATCAAAACCATAATGAGATACCACCTCACACCTGTCAGAATGGCTAACATGAACAACTCGGGCAACAACAGATGTGGAGAAAGAGGATCTCTTTTGCACTGCTGGTAGGAATGCAAACTGGTACACCCACTCGGGAAAACAGTATGGAGGTTCCATAGAATTACTCTATGATCCACCAATTGCACTACTAGGTATCTATCCAAGGGATACAGGTGTGCTGTTTCGAAGGGGCACATGCACCCCTATATATGTAGCAGCACTATCAACAATAGCCAAAGTATGGAAAGAGCCCAAATGTCCATTGACGGATGAATGGATAAAGAAGATGTGGTATATATATATACAATGGAGTATTACTCGGCAATCAAAAAGAATGATCTTTCCATTTGCAACTATGTGGATGGAACTAGAGAGTATTATGCTAAGCAAAATTAGTCAGTCAGAGAAAGACAAATATCATATGACTTCACTCATATGAGGACTTTAAGACACAGAACAGATGAACATAAGGGAAGGGAAACAAAAATAATATAAAAACAGGGAGGGGACAAAACATAAGAGACTTTTAAATATAGATAACAAGCAGAGGGTTGTGGGAGGGGGAAATGGGCTAAATGGGTAAGGGGCATTAAGGAATCTACTCCTGAAATCATTGTTGCGCTATAGCCTAACTTTTATGTAAATTTAAAAAAATAATTAACTAAAAAAAAGAAATAAGCTGCTTATTCTCATATGTTGAAGCAAGTTTTATGAACAGGTTTTGGACAGAGCTGGGCAACTACTGGACGTAGAAGAAGGCGCAACAGAACAAAGTTTAATCAAAGTCTTCCTTTTAGAGAGACTTAAAAAATGCACTTAGTAGACTTGAAGAGTAGAGATGGAAATGATTGGACGAGAGAGAACCAGCAGAACCAGAACTCATCAATACCATGGGTGGCTCTCTAGGCTTTTCTAGGCTGTGGCTAGGATTGAACTTGACAGTGTCCTCCCATCTGTTGGCAGCCTTGCTGTTTCACTAGCAAGTTCTTGGCCAGATCCACACACTGTTCATCTACTCGGTCCTAAAGAATAAACACCCAGTTTGACTCTCCAGCCCAAGACACTTTATCCTAGGATCCTTCCCTTTTGGGTTTTGTAGAGTATATGCCCTTTACCAAAGATGTGAACTCCTCAGCCCCCTAAGTCTTAGATCCACCCAATAGTATCCATCTTTAAAATGCATGTATCCTGGGGCGCCTGGGTGGCGCAGTCGGTTGAGCGTCCGACTTCAGCCAGGTCACGATCTCGCGGTCCGTGAGTGTGAGCCCCGCATCAGGCTCTGGGCTGATGGCTCAGCGCCTGGAGCCTGTTTCCGATTCTGTGTCTCCCTCTCTCTCTGCCCCTCCCCCGTTCATGCTCTGTCTCTCTCTGTCCCAAAAATAAATAAACGTTGAAAAAAAAAAATTTAAAATGCATGTATCCTTTGACTCAGCAATTCAACTTCCAGGAATCTCTTCTACAGACATAATCACACTTGTACACAAGTATACAGGAGAAAGTATTTCACTGATCATTATTGGTAACAGTAAAAAAATGTCTAAATGTGTAATAAAGAATGCTTAATTACGGCATATGTGTAATATGAAATACACCTCTTAGGAACGAGGTAGATCTGTGTATGCAAACACAGAAATGTGTCTGTGATATGTTGTGGGAAAAAAAGTTTTGGACCAATATACAGAAATGGTCCCATAATCATTTTTTTCCAAAGTGAATTTTTTTTTTTTTTTTACTTGTGTATGCTTGATAAAGGGTCTGGTAAGATTCATGTCAAACTGTTGATAGTGGTTACCCCTGGGAGATGAGATTGAAATTGAAAATAAAGTCAGAACAAAGAAGCACTCACTTTTTAGTTTTGGAAATGTTCGTATCACTTGTATCTTGTAAAACATGCATATCTTTGTAAATTTGTTAAAGTAACCTTCTTGGGGCTCCTGGAGGAAGTTAAGCATCCAACTCTTGGTTTCGGCTCAGGTTGTGAGCTCACAGTTCATGGGTTCAAGCCTTACATTGGGCTTTGCACTGACAGCATGGAGTCTGCTTGGGATTCTCTCTCTCCCTCTCTCTCTGTCCCTCCCCCTGCTCTCTCTCTCTCTCTCTCAAAATAAATAATAAACATTAAAAAAAAAAGTAACCTTCTTTGCTTGGGTTCTATGTCTCTCTGGGTTGGGTTCCAAGGTCAGATTGGGAGCTTATTTGCATTGGTCCTTAATACAGCAGCAGCTGACCGAAGATTAACTTAGGTTCTAAGAAGTGCTCTCTAGTAACATTGCCAACGCCTGCAAGAATTCTTATTCACCAGAGATAAAGAAAGGGAACTGATGCATAAAAGTTTAGTAGATGTGTGGGGTGCCTGGGTGGCTCAGTCGGTGAAGCATCCGACTTCAGCTCAGGTCATGATCTTGCGGTTTGTGAGTTCGAACCCCTGCACTGGGCTCTGTGCTGACAGCTCAGAGCCTGGAGCCTGCTTTGGATTCTGTGTCTCCCTCTCTCTCTTGCTCCTCCCCTGCTCACTCTCTCTCTCTCTCTCTCTCTCCCTCTCAAAAACAAATAAACATTAAAAAAAAGTTTAGTAGATGTGCATAAGAGTTTAGTAAAGTGCCTTCATAATACCCACTTACTAAAATTTGTAAGTAGGTCTGCTACTTGGACTAGTTGTTTCCCGGGTCTGTCTTTTCTTCAAAAATACTTGACGCGATGGACTTTAGATATTATTCAGCCCGTGGGATGTGTTGAAATCATAAGAAATCAAATACTAACGTGGTGGAGGATGTTTGTCATGGGATACCTATCATCCTCTAATTGTCTCCTAAATAGACTAAATTGTATAGGACTTGTCTTGGGAGCATGTATCGCCAATTGTTTCTGTCCTCGAAAAGAAAAAAAGAGAAAGGATAGGTTATACAAAGGAATCCTGAAATCTTAAAGGATCTCATTGTTTCATAAGCTCTATGAGCATAATAATAATAATCTCATTTTTTTAATGTTTATTTATTTCTGAGACAGAGAGAGACAGAACATGAGTGTGGGAGGGGCAGAGAAAGAGGGAGACACAGAATCCGAAGCAGGCTCCAGGCTCTGAGCTGTCAGCACAGAGCCCGACGTGGGGCTTGAACCCACAAACTGTGAGATCATGACCTGAGCCGAAGTCAGACGCTTAACCGACTGAGTCACCCAGGTGCCCCAATAATAATCTCATTTTAATGGATAATCTCAAAAGCTGTATTTCCACCATACTTGAATTGATCAAACGATTCAGATGTAATACAACCAATCTAAATTTTTCAGACAACTTGGTTAATATCTGATTCTTTGCTGGTTGTTATAATATTGCCCCATTTATTCTTTTTTCTGTTCTCTCTTAAAATCAGGTTGAAGAACTACACCCTGGTTTTTCTAAGTCCAATTACTTGTTCTTGGCCAAGGTAAGGAAGACCACTTGTTTTAAGATCACTTTGAATGCATTACATAAAAATGGGATTCCCTTTCACATTGTCGACTTTTCATTTCTAGTGTTACATCGATCTTGAACAAACAGATGACGCTGTGAAGTTTTGTAATTTGGCAGTATTGCTCCCTTGTGTTACCAAAGAGGTAAGTCCCAACAGGGACAGCGAAGGCTGTTATTTTCACCAGTACTTTTCTAGCTCCAGATAGGAACAGCTGGCTTAGATGCGTCTGGATTTTTCTTCCATACTAAAACATTTGGGATTTCACTGGGATTGAACATGTGCTGTGAAGTTTTTAGGATTGCTGTGGGTAACCCTTCACCAGCAGACTCCCTGTCTCTTTAAGGGACACACAAATCATGGGCTAGCAGTTAAAATATACTGATGCTTGTTAAGCATTAGACCGCAAGAAGACCGTCCAGGGGTCTGCCGTCTTCAGTCTCCTGCTCACAGTAGGGTGTGGTTATCCTCTACCGTGAAGAAGCTTAAAAATGATGCTTTGACATTTTCTTGGTCTTTGAATGCCTACCGCTAACGAAGAAGAAACTATCCTGTTGCTTCTTGCCCTTTTATTCACTAATTCAGGATTCTGGATGTGCTCTGTTTTAGGAATTTCAGAGTTAATGGCCCAGTCTGTGTTGCTGTGAGCCGTATATTGGTATTGTAGGAATACAAGGAAATAGATCAGTGTTTTCCTGCTCCCTTCTCGTACCGCCGCACATTACCGTCCTCTGAATCACAGCGGAAAGAAATGCCTCAGAAAGGAGCATCCCTTGTCTTCTCTGCGGAAGCAAAACCGGCTCCGATGGTTGTTGTGAACCTCAAATATAGACACGCCCACAGCTCTCTAGCAGCTCACAGCCTGGGGGAGAATATAAGCCATATACCCAAGTAACTGTAGCCCAGGGTGGAAAGCCTGAAGCGCTCAGAGAGGTGCAAATAACTGGTGATGGAAATAGTGGAAAGGGAGAAATTATTTCCACCTGGAAGAGATCCGGTAGCATCAGAGGTGGACTTTGAGAGTGTACGTAAGGTGGAGGTGAGAGTGAAGTGCCTCGCAGGTGGTGAACAAAGGCACAGAGGTGGAAAAGCGGAGATTTGTTTGCCTGGAGGGGGAGGGGCAGGGGTGTTCAGCGCAGTCCTGGGAAACAAGGAAGAAAGGGGGGAGCGTAATAAGACCTGCCGGGAACTTCAGGGTTCAGGGATGCCTCCGTCTTTAAACAGGGCTGCTCAGGCCTCACTGGGCCTTGCTGGCAACTACCCGCGCAAGGTCTCGGACGGCTTACGTTTGGGCTTTCCTGCGGGGTTGATTGGCCTTCTCATTCCGATCCCTCACTTGGTCGAGGCGCACAACAGCCTAGGCTCAGGAGCGGCACTTCTCCGGAAGACACTTTGTGCAATTGTTTGGGCAGAAAACAGATTTTGTCCCTCTGGTTGCTTGCTCCATAGACGTGGTGGGGACCCTACCATCTTTTCCACCTCTCCTGAATGATGTTTCAGGTTATACGCAGTCATTTAAAACTGAGGGTCTGTGCGTTCTTTTTAGAATTTGAGATTAGCATACAGTATGATAGTGAGGCATAATACCTGGTTTCACGTGCAAATAGTTGTGCACGATATCCAGAGCTGTCACACAAGGGCTAAATATCGATGACCCCCCCCCCCCCAGGGTTTGGTCCTTGGTCCCTAAGTCTCCCGTCTCCTCGCCTCCTCTCCTTTCCTCTCCTCTCTCCTCCTTCCTGCCCCACAAACCTATGGTCCACGGCTTTGGATGCTATCTACCTGCCAGGAGTCCTCAAATTCGTATCTCTAGACCTCCCTTCTGAGCCCTAAGATCTGAGTATCCAACTTCCTACTTGACATCTGTACCGAGATGTTTCGCAGACATCTCAAACTCAACTCATCATTGGGCCTTTGGATCTCGTCTTTTCCAACTTCCTCTCTAGTAAATGGCACATCCGTCCATCAGTTGGGAATCATCTCCCTCAGCTCCCGACACAGGCACCCACCCACTCACCAAGTCTCAGTCTTCCTCTTCTAAAGCATGCCTTGAGCTAGCCAACTGCCCTCTCACTCGACTGCTACCGCTCCAAGCAGGAAACCACCCGAGTTCACCGGAACTACGACGTGCGAGCCTCCCACTGGTCTTTGGCTTTCTTCCTTCCACCTGGCCATTCTTGGCTCTCAGTAGCAGCAAAGGAACAGATTGAGTAAACCTCAATATGTCACTTCTTACTTGAAACCCTTTGCTTTGGGGATAAAGTCCTAAATGTTTAGCATGTCCTTCAAGGCTCTGATCTCTGTTGCCCACTCCCCCCACCTCTGCACTATGCCTTTCCTTGCTTCACACCCTCGGGACCTGTTCTTGCCTCTTCCTGAAACACTCCCACCCAAGCCCTCCACTCCCTTCCCCTGCTTTATTCCTACTCACCCTTCAGGCCTCACCATAAATGTCATTTCTTTAGGAAAGACTTCCTTGCCACTCCCAGGCAAGAAAGTACCTCGTACTTTTCCTTCACATCATCTAGCACGGTTTGTGGTTGTATAATTGTTTGTGTGATTCTTCCAGGAAAGTCACAGCTAAGTGTGTTTCATTCACCCCTCTATTCCCAGTGCCAATTACCATGCCTGGCATGTAATAAGCACCCATAAGTACTGATAGGAAAAATCAGAAGACTCATAGCATAAAAATAAAAAGCTGGGCACTGTGGAAATATTTAGGTAATAAGCAAAATAGCATTAATAAGTATTTCCTACGTTACTTATTTTTCCAATGATGTTTCCATTTATATTTTCTAGGAGGTTTTGTTTTGTTTTGTTGTTTTGTTTTGTTTCGAGTAGTAAATGTAATGTCAGGAATATCAATTTTTTTTCAATTAGAAAATAGACTGAGGAGAGTTATCTGTAGTCCCCCTATCTCTGTAAGTTTTTCCAGATTGAAATATACCCACCCCATTAGTGATTTTGCTGACAAGTCTGTTCATTTCCAAAATGTCCAGCAGAGCCACTAATAACAGTGAAGGCAACCCAGCCATCAGTTTTCCCTCTGTCATGTGAACCTGCCTGACATACCTGCTTCTTTCTCGTGGCACTTGTAACCTCTTCCTGACATTGGAGTCGTTTGTGATGTCTTCTGCCCCTTCCAGGGAGCTCTGAGCTCACCACACTGCACTTGATATTGGGAGTGTCAGCCCTTGGGCTCTAGGGCCCAGATTCCTGCATGTGAGCAACTTTACATCCCCAGAACTTGAAACTACAGTGTTTTATTATTCACATGGCCTTTTCTTGACTCTAGGAAGGTCTTCTCGGGTCCTGAGAAACGTTCCACTTTAAAAGTTTTTTTTAAGTTTATTTACTTATTTTGAGAGAGACAGAGACAGCACAAATGGGGGAGGGGCAGACAGAGAGAGGGAGAGAGAGAAACCCAAGCAGGCTCTATGCTGTCAGCTTAGAGCCCCACGTGGGGCTCGAACCCACAAAACATGAGATCATGACCTGAGCCGAAAATGGGAGTCAGACGCTCAACCGACTGAGCCACCCAGGAGCCCCAGAAACGTTCCACTTTTAAACTGAAAAAGGATTCCTGTGTCGAAGGCAGTGTGAGAATGCTTGATGAAGGAAATCATGACCACTCTGGCAGCCTGGGAGTTGTTTGCCTGGACAAAGTATCCAAGTTACTGACCTGGGGCAGGCTGCCAAAGTTCGGTGCAGGAAGCATTATGTAATCTTTTGTTTTACGGCGAGGGATGTGCTAATTTGGTAAAGAAAAAAACTGTTTTGAAATCGTTGTCACATTTTGAAGTGACATTAATTGCTCTTCTAAGACAAACTCTTGTAGGATAGGAAATAAACTATACCGGGAACAGTGTCAGGAAGAGAAGGACTCCGGGAGTGTTCAATGTAAAGAACACGTCTTCCTGGCTAACAAGTTGTGTAGTTGGCTTTAAAGTTAACCTGTTGTTTAAAATCCTGGGCTGTTATTTCCATCCTGTTATATAAATGGAGAATCATCCCTCTCATTAGTAACCACTCTTAGTAATAAAATCCTAATCATGCTTTTAATTTTCTGTCTTAATTAAGACCTCATATTTGATTTTTTTTTAACATTTATTGTTGAGAGACAAAGACAGAGCATGAGCGGGAGAGGGGCAGAGGGAGAGGGAGACACAGAATCTGAAGCAGGCTCCAGGCTCTGAGCTGTCAGCACAGAGCCCGACATGGGGATCGAACCCACGGACCCCAGATCATGACCTGAGCCGAAGTCAGAGGCTCCACCGACTGAGCCACCCAGGCGTCCCTCATATTTGATTTTTTTTTTAATTAAGAGATTGGTTTCTCAGATAAGTTTATA